AAATTCATTTAGAAATCGGCTTTTCGTTCGATATTATTCTATTTTTTTAGTTATCCTTACATCTATTAGATGAAACAATTCTTTCGTAATCATCGTCGAATCATGTTATTGACATTTGACATTGATGATTGAAAAAAAAATGAAAATTTCTATTCTTATTTGTAATTCTTTGAGATTAAAGTTAAATTGAATTTTTAAAAACCACGTTGAAAATATAATAGCTTAAAATTTAATTCTTATTTTTCTTTTTATTTTCTTTCTATTTTTAACATTTCTTTCGATATTCAATTTATCAATAATATCTAATAATAATGATTATTAATATTTCATATCTGTACTCACGAATGCATATTTAAAAAATAAAGACAAAACACGTTTTTTTTAACGTTTTTTTATAAACGTAATATGATTTTCTCTTCTTATCTTCCAGCTTCGGGTTAAATTTATACAAACAAGTCATTGATCAATCAATAATATATTTAGCAACACATTTTTAGTCGCAAGTAAATAAATACGGAGGAACGCACGATAATAACAATAATATATGATAACCAAGTCCAAAATGACGAAATATCTTTTTAAAACTATTGCAATTGCCATCTTCTTGCAATCGCTCTCAATTCATCATTACGTTTTTCTATTACGTATATCTTCGATCTTCTTTTATCCAAGGATCGAAATAGATCCTTTGTATTTTCATTTAACCGGTCTCCGATAACTAACTTCACTTTATATTTATATATAAATGATTATAATTAAAATGATGTCGTAAAAATAAGCAGGTATAATGTAATTCTCTCTCGATGAAATATAATATTAATTTTTTCAAAAACATTTTCGTGATCTTCATAATTATAAAACAAAAAATACGAAATCCTTTTGAATCGTGTTCGTTCAGTGTTAATATCGGTTGAAGATAAACGAAATAGACTAAAGGGATGTAAGAACGTAATTGTTTTTACAACTTTGAGTTTTTTTCCATTAGCCTTTGCAACTTTGTAAGAATAAATTTATTGTTAGTTTTATCTATAGATTCTCTCTCGCGAATAATCGGTCAGCGACTGGAAAAATTTCAACAAGCATCCAGGTTTAAGAGAATAGAGAATAGAGAGAATAGAGTTCCGTGTATCTCGAGGCTGAGATCCGATGTTTCGTTGATTTCATCATCATCGACCAAATATTCCACCCACGAATTTTCTTTTCTCGCGTCTTCATCTTATCGGCCGATAACATTTTTTCGGTGGACGATAATGACCGCGACAAATAAGTATCGTCCTCGAATCCGTAGATAATAGATCGAATCGAATTCGCGATTCTCTCGTGGAATTTCCCTTTCCGAAAATCTCACCGATAGTAATAAAGAAATATCGATGATGGAAACGATAATATTGAAACTGATTTAATTAATTGCCTGGATTGACTCGTCATCTCTAATACTTAGATAATTTCGATAATTAAAATTCGATTTAATTATCTTTCAAATAAAAAATTAGAATTAAAAAACATATCGAGGGGATTTACATTCAGATTCGAGAATTTTTTATGATAAGAATAATTTCTGGTAGCATTAATTATCGTGGAACAAGAATGGAAAAACATTCATCACATGAAAGATACTTAAACAAATACGTGTTTAACAAAGAACAAGCATATTTCTGAGATAGGAGATCGATCAATATCGAGGATATCTGTATCGGTACGTGAAACCATTACCGAGTAAATAGTATCGATATTATTATAATTCCGTTTCGCTCGTGGAAATATACTATAGATATACGAATGAACAATAATAAATGGAATCTGTAATAAAAGAAAAGAACGAATCGTGTAATATCTTCTTTTTTGAAAACGGCTGTTGTATCTGCATGTATTATTGTAGCTGCATCAATATTTTCAATGTGAATAATTATCGCGCAATTAAGCCATTAACGTGGAAAAGAATATATAAGAGAGAGAAAATGAATTATATAATGTTTCAAAAGAATATACTTACATTTGAAATATTATTACGATGTTTATTTAGTAAACAAAAAGCGTGGAACATCAATATTATTATTAAATATATAACTCTATGTAATTGAGTTTGCATCATCGTATTTTTAAAAAATGATTTCAATAAAATGAAGAGAAGTTAAAATGAAGAGAAGGTAGCGACGTCTGTTCAAAGCGATTGAATTAATATGAAAGAGAAACGAGTTGAATTCCGGCAGTCGCGCGCCGGCACTCGGGTGAAGAGGATAGCTTTGCGTCCACTGCGATTATCGATTCGATTTATTTTCCTCTCTAAATTTTTTTCATTCCATGATATATATATTTTTGTATAAATATTTTCTTAAAATAAAATTTAATTAATATATCCGATAAATATTTCCTCTAACAATGAATATTGGAAATATTCTTTTGTATTATTTTTTTTTTCTTAGCTTTTTATGGAAAGAGAATTTAAATAAAAAGATCATTTCTCGCGATATTCTTACTCTTCCCATCATTTAATTTAATTTTAATCAGTGTTATTCCAATCCCAAGATTCTAGAAATCAATTTAATTCAAATTAATACAAATTTTGAACGATCGTCCAATCGCGATATCCTGATATTCTTCTTTTATTCTTATCAATCATTTCGATAAATATAAAACGAAATCACTATCGTTTTTCTTTTTATGTAAAACAAATTAACGCCAAAAATTTAATTTACATGTTTCATTTCGTTTTAATTTTTTTTCCCCAATTTTTATTAAAAAATCATTATCAAAAAGTTATATAAACAAACCTATCAAAAAAGAAGTGTAAAACTTACGTTATCGATTAAATACTTTTCTCTCGAAATAATCATTGTATTTAATACATTCTGCGATATATATTTAATGTCGATCGCGATAAATTTATTTATTCATTGGTTTACTTCGACCGATTAATTTTCTATGCAATTGTATCCATTTTTGTATCGTTCCATATAAATTCCAATAAATCCGACAAAACGTCACGATTATTCCCTGCAAATCTATTGCAATAGTGTTCGTTAAATATTTGCATTGTTGGACTCTTTCGCACGTGTACAATATGCCACGTGTCCATAGTGGAGTGCGACCAGATTTGCTATTGATTTTCTGGGCGGATGCTGGGGTTGCAAAACAAGAGGGTAGATTTTTTTCTAACTGCTGTTTCCAGTCGATGTAATCTCCGAGATACGCGTTCAAATACCACAAACAGCTTGAACAAAAAGAAAAATACGATACGTTAGATACGGAAAAGTGTAGATATGAAAAATAAAATATAATTGTGCCACGTGAGAAATAGAAATATCATCGATTTTGTGATCATCGAAGACAAACGATGATGGACAAGCAAAGATCTCGGAAAAACGAGCACGATATTTTTATTCTTTTTTCTCTAGCCATTATTTTTTCTTTTTTACAGCTATTTTTATTTAGCTATTTTATATTTATTTAACAGACGATGAAAAATTCCACCATTATTGAAAGTAAACAATTCGTTTTCTCGTTCGATTAAAGAAACTTCGATAAAATTATAAATCTTTGTAATATTGCTTATCGTTTCTCGTGGAATTTATCAATAGTTATCGAAATTAAAGACTGAACCTTCCTCAAGAAAATTTAAAAGTACCCTTAGATCTATCAGAGTCTTCTGACTACTTGAAATTTACTACGCAGTTGGATTAACTTTATATTTTTATATAATAGAATACACGTTTCGAGATAAAATTAAATACGACGAAAAGATGAATTCTCATTCGAATCCTTCCAAAAAAACAAATTCGTAGGGACTCATTAATATCGATATTTTCATACATTCGAAACTTCGTTTACTCTACACGATTAAGTTTTTCTCAGATTTTCGTATAGATATCAAAAAGATACAAAATTCGTGGACGATAACATAGAAAGACAGAAGAAAAATTTCCTCTAATTAAACAATGATCTACGAAACAATCGAATCGATCAAGCAAAAACAACATCGAGTTAATTATTGCAAACAGGATGTGAATTGTGCCGAATTGTTGCAATTCACTCGTTCTTGACCTTCTTTTTTATTACTAAAAACCTATTCTTATAAAACTTAACTCTTTTGAAATTGGTAACACAAAGTTCGCTTATGCAAATTAATCAAGCGACTTATCGAAGCGACAAATACGTAAATGATGTAAATGATGTAAATGATGTAAATGATGAAAATGTACGTAAACGAGCAATTTCATACCATTGTGGAACATTTATATTTCTAATCAGACAGATGCACACGAACACGCGATATTGCTATTAGAAATATATAAAGGTCGATGCAAACGAGTGACGTCGTTACCATTTTACAGTAGTAGTAGCAATGCACGATTTGTCAGGTGTGATATTGCAATGCTGACATGCGCGTGGATTTTATCTAGAAAATATAAAATTATTATCGAAACTCTTGGAAAATTATATCGTTGCGAAATCACAAGTATCATTGTATTCTTCATCGAATTTTAAAGATATAACGCTGCGGAATCAGCCAATGTTCAACCCTCTTATAATTCCATCACGTGTTCGTAATCACGCGAATTACCAACGGTTCTTAAACTTTTTCATCTCTCTTTCTCTCTCTTTCCCTCTCTCTGGAATACGTCTTTTCCAAAATCCCAAAACCATTTTTTCCAAAATTTATCACACGAACGACGTGAACCGACGTTTGTAACTAAAACTTAACGAAAGATTAATCGGGAGATTGGATCGATTCAATTGTATTAATTAAATTTAAAAAATCATTCATCAAGACCCTCGACCGTTGTCCAGAGCAGAGTTTAAGAACCGGCGCGGCAGATGATTTGGCGGGGGGAAACGCGGAATGGAAAGTGAAACGCGTGGGCGCGTGGACGCGTAAGCGCGGCGCCCGGCCGTTTCAACCCCCTGATTGGCCGGATCGATGGTCGATCAAGCGACCTTGACACGATCGCGACTCGTCGCAGGGTCGAGGACTCACGCGTTTACGGTCGTTGCATTTTCAGCCGGAGAAGGAGGCTGGTAGCCGGTGGTCGCTGGAGGGAGAATCGAGTAAACGTGCGAGAGTAGAACGAATCGACGAAGCTCGTTCGCAGGAAGGGAGAGAGGTCGACAGTCGAGGTTTATCGAACGGAGCGTGTCCGTGGGAGCGAACGAGGCAAGAGTGAGGGACAGACAGAGAGGGAGCGAGAAATGGCCCCCACCCACGGCCAGGAGGAAATAGAGGGGCGCTATAAAGAGTATGCCTATAGCCCTGTACCAGCGAGTTCCACTTCAGCGGTGTACGACTCAACCACCCTTGCGAAATATCCCGTCGACATTGGTGCTGGCTCACCCAAATATCGTACCTACGGTGTCTACGAGAAGTGTCGCGTCGCAGAGATGGCGGAGAAGGGCTCGACGCTGCTTCAGTACGTGGCCGCTGCCGCGGGTAAGTTTCAACCCTTTCACTGTTCCGCTTCGTTCCGGCCGTTGGATCGGGGGTTAGGTTCGCGAGCAATGCGGCCGGTACACGATCCGCGTCGCCCGACGCATCCGCCGCACAATTCTCGCGTGACAGGCCGAGTTTGGTG